CTCCACGTGTCCTTTCTTAAAAAAGGCACAACACATCCCAGCAGAGTCAACAAGCTGTGCTGCCTATCTCTGCTCTCAGCAATAAGACTCAGGAGCCTTTTCTGACCATCTGAAGAGATGAGTAACAGAAAAGCTTTGCCTCCACACATGAGACTGGAGTTCCAGCTGTCCCTGGGAACAACCTATGAAAACCTGCCAAAGAGCCATTCCTCCTTTTCAAAGTCTCTTAAAATTAACATTTGTCTTTATTTCTTATTAATTTAATTGTATTCTTACACAAGACTCTTACACACAGGTTTTGAAAGGCTGGATACATTCTTTATCGCATTTTACTAATAGAGAATTAGAGTCTGTTTAGAAGGATTCTGTTTTGAAGTTCTCCCTCTAACCCTTGCAGTTTTCCTGCAGCTCTTGCAGATGCTAATGGAGGGAAGCATAAAATCAAGAAATGACCTGTAGGTGCTTTTACCTCGGTGCCTTCTCTGCATTATAAGGAAATATCATTGGGGAAATTTTCCTTAAATACTTTTTTTTTGCAGAAATTTCTCGGCAGCTGCAGGTGAATGGACAGTTTGTGAACACTGAGTGCCTTAATATTGTGTTGCAATAAAATCCTGGCATACTGGTGAAGTTACTGTCTACTTATTATTCTGACTTCACCAGACTTCTTAGAGGAAAATAATTTGAGCATGCTTCCTGCTACAGATATAGCTTGTGCACTTTCCTTTATCAAAAGTCATACTGTGACTTAGTTTGAGCTGTTAAAAAGGAAGATGTACATAAACCATGTCTGTTTTCTCCAGACACTACAAATTGTACCTGGTGCTGTTTCCTCATAAACAGTTATCAAATTCCCTTGTTGATCAACAGTGATCAACCTTTACCATCTTCATGTCTGACTAAAAATTCATCAGGAACAAACACCAGGCCTGGTTTTCCTCTGTTCATGAGCTTGGGGATCTCATTATTTTCAGAATATTCGTTAAACTCTCTACTTACTCTGAAAATCATAGGTTTTGGTTTTGGAGGTGTTTTTTTTTTGCTGCTGAGTGACTAGTGGGCAGCTGCCTCAGGCATTTGTCCATTCCACAATACAGGATCTCATAATTCCGTGTAGTCAGACACTGTGTCTTCAAGAGATAGTCGCCATAAATAGACACCACCTTACAGTATTTGACATTGTCAAAGCACCGGTTAATGGTCACCAACAGCAATTAACTAATTCATCTTCAGGGCAACACCGACATAATTAACACATGAGTAAAATGAGATTTAGGAGTTAAGTCAGTTGCCTGGGCAGAGGCCTTCATGGTCTAGTGGATTAGACATCTGCTTCTCCAACCAAAGAAGTTGAGTCTAATCCTTTTTCTGACATTGATTTGTTGCACGACCTTACAGAAAGTCAATTAACTTCTCTATCTCAGCTGCCCTAGAGATAATGATGCTTACCTACCTGGTGACACATGGGCATTTTGAATCTGTACTAAATGATATTCTTAATGTATTCTTAGGGCCCATCAGTGGAAGAGGTGAAACATTAAAGCTGTGAAGCTTTAATGTCCTTGCTATTTTATCTAATTCCTCCCCCACACACCAGAAATAGCTTAGGGGTAAGGACAAATTTCTTAGGCTAAGGTGCTCCCCATACAACTGTGTCTGGCATCAGGAATTTTCATCAGATCCTGTTTGACCAGTAAAGTTATTTAGAATACAGGTCAGCACTAGAATTGCAACGTAAAGTTTAAAATAAACTTGCCCATGGAAGAAAACAGCATCCTTCCCATGCTACCATGAGGCAATGAACAGATTGTACTCCTGATTCAAAGGAAGCAGAGCCTGCTGCAGATACCCTAGAGCCTGTGCTCATGCACCATCCATCCCCAGTTCCCTCTAAATGATACTTCTGCAAGATAATTTCTACAGGTGTCCTGACTCATAGCAGGGATACAAGCCCAAAGGAAAAGTACCTGCATACATGCACCTCCTGGAGCAGACCCACCTGATCTTGACATCTCTGAGCAGTGGGGCGTTGTACTTAAGAGAAGGACAACTAAAATCTGCTCTGTTCAGTTTGTGAGAAGCTGTCCTTGAACTTCTTTCCTTTTCATGATGTGCTACAGAGCATTAAAAAATACTACTATAGTCGGCATTTGAACTGCCTGGCAGGTGTCTAGGTTGGTGGTGTGCACAGGTAACTTTGTATCCCTTTTTGTGTATTTGACCTTCCTTTTAATTTTTTCTACAAAATATTCTGTTGCTACATCTAATGTTTCCTAGGCCCATAAAACCTCCCACAATTCTAATATAGCAAGAAACCAGTCAAATGGGACATAAGAATTCAACATTTACCTTTATTTCTGTGAGCAAGATTAGTATTCCTTCTCTTTAATAATGAAGGAAACATCTAGCACATTTTTGCCTTTCGCTTGCTGAATTACAGCAAGCATGGTGAACGGTCACGCAACCAGAAAATTTATAACCTGCTCCTGCTTCTGCTGTGACACTGATCACTTCTCAGCATCCTTTCTGCTGACGATCCGCCTGTGTGCCGGCTGTTTCATTTCACTGCCCTGCTCTCTCTACCCTCAGACTGGTTAGCACTAGTCTCTTCTCCACCCTCTCACCTCCATTGATAATGTGTTTAACATTTACTTTGATGCTATTCCTTGATGCTTTTCAAAATCCTTCTTGGAAGGAAGACCATTAAAAAGAAACCCTTTGGGGAAAGATGGAGGAAAGCTAAAGAACAAAGTGTATGTGCTTGTGTATCATACTGCTGCAGGCTTTGTCTTGCTGCAAACCTGGAGATGACTCAATGTAAACCCATACTGCTGTAATTAGGGAATAAATATTGTATTCTCCTAAAATACATCTGGGCTAGTTCAATAAACCCCGATTTACAGGCTGCTACTTGTGCAAACATCTGCATGTTAAATTCCAGTAAATTACTAGTGAGTGGTCAGATCAGTAATACAGAAATTCCCAAGGCTGAAAGACTGTCTATAGCTTGTTCCTATGTATTTACTTACTGCAGAGGCCACTGGTTTGACTAGCACAGATCAAATGGCCCCATGTCTACACACTGTGGAAGAACTTAAAGGTGACTTGTAACAGTTTATGAAATGTACTCTAGGATTGTATTCTGAGCATGGCAAGGAGCATAAACTAAAACTGTATTCACCTCTCAATGCCTAAAATACAACTTTTCAGTGCTAGTTTTGGCATGGATTAAAATTACCTGTGTGCTAAGAAGTGATTAATATGTAACACATTTGGCACAAGCAGAACATATAATTACATTAAGACATTACTGGGTACTTCTTCTAAGCATTTGTAGCTTATCTTGTAACATCATCTCATACACTTGTATGTTTGGTTGGGGTGCATTTTTTTGTGTCTTTACTATATGGACAGTGAGAACCTGTACCTTTCTGCACCTAATCTAATAATACATTGAAGCATCCATTTAACTTTAAGGCTGAGCTTTAGATCTCTGCTGCATCAGGCACTTTGTTTAAATATGTATCTTTTAGTTTTATATTGCATATTTTGCAAGATTTCATAAAATTATGCAACATCCCAGTTCTATAGTCTACACTACAGACCAATGGGTGTGACTTCAACTTTATCTATTGATACAGTAAAGGACATGTAACACTAGGAAGGATAACTTATTTTTCGTCTTATTGATTCTTTCCTTTAGCTTTTGTTTAACCTGATATACAAACAATTACATTTTCCTGTGAGATGTTTTCCCATTTTTTAAGTTTGGAATGAAGTAGATGTTTTGCCTTTTTTTTTTTTTTTGAGTATAAAGTGTATAGACCTTCAGATTTATATTGGCTTTGCTGTAAATTAATGCTGCTGAAGTCAGTGAACACACTTGTACCTACAGTGACCTTGTAAAATACATTCAGATGAAACAGGGTCTACCTGGATTGCAAGAGGGAAAGGAAATCAGTTTATCTTAAGTTTGGTAATTTGGTAATGGTTATTCTAAACAGTGTTTTTATTTCTTAGTATGATCACTAGAAGACAATGTGTAGTCAGTATTAAATCAGGGCAGATTCAGACGATAAAAGCAAAGCTTAATCTTGCTAGGATTAGTGACTCTAAATTGATACGACTGAAAAACATTGCAAAATGCTGAAGTTAGGTGGCTTCGGGGCTTAGCAAAACGCCTTGCCTGGTAATTATCAAAAGTCTTCAGATACACTGATTGCACCTGGAACCTCTGATTGGATTACCAAAATAAATAATAATAATAAAAAAAGAAGTTGACTGTAGTAGTCTCATTTGTACTTTAATTAAAAGCTTTGTTTTTAAATATAACTGATTCCCTGAGGTTATTTTTAAAATAAGCTTCTGGCAAGGCAACAGTGTGGTGGATTAGAGGCTTGGAATTGAGGAAAAATCATCATTCAGCATACAATTTAGAATAATGTGTGCATATATACAAATACATGTGTATACAACATCATGTAACAGGATACAGGACTGGATTTATTAAAGTGAAATGGAAAGATATTTCCTCTTTTAATATTCTAGATCTCTTTTAATATATGCGATGTAGATATTGCACTGAAGCCTGATTCATATAAATACCACAATGACTGCACATCAATCTGATCAGGCCAGTGAAAGCTCTGTTTTACTACATATGTAAAACCAAGTTATCAACTTAGCTGTCTGCATCTACAACTCCATCTAACAGTGGCTGTTACACTTGATGTGGATACATAAGACATATCACCCATCAGCTCACTGTTTATCATGGAGCATGCAAGCATGAGTTGAAAAGCAGCAGGCACAGATAAAGCATAGTCATGGAAAAGGAGCAACGGGATAGCAGCAAGGGGAGTGGATTTGGGGGGCTAATGAGCAGCGTTAAAAGGGGAGTGCTGGGGGGGGAGGGTGAAAGATCTGTATGAGACACGGATGAATATGAAAAGCCAGAAAACAAGACATTTTTCTATTTCTTATTTCAGAAGAGAACTTACAGCTTCCAAATTTTAATGGGCAAGCATGTGCATCCATGGGGAAATCTTCAAGTTGCATGGGACATTCAGCAGAGATGGTCAATCTGTGGGGGAGTAAAAAGAAAACATAATTTTTTTCCCCTGCACCTTCTCTTTAGGCTCCTCACCACAATACATGAGTGCTGACACAGGCAAGCTTTTCCTGAAGGCTCCTTGTTCCTGCTGAAAACTCAGCAACCCCCAGTTAAATTGAATGTGAGATAAGCCAGGGGGACCACAGTGTGTGCATGCCATAGGCCTTATCTAGCAACCCTGAGACACGTGAAATGATTTTATTTATGTAAGCTGTCCCAATAAGATCATTCTTTCTTATTAGTACGCAAAGAAACTCCTGTGATGGAGCTTCTGCCACACACCTTATACTTATCTCCTTTCTGTACATACTGCAACTGGACTAGGAATTTGACTCCTGTGTACAGCACTGTTACAGACATAAAAAAGCATTGACTTTATATGTAGATGTAACTATTTAAATACATAAAACAAATAATTACAAATAAAAGTACATAATATAACTATAACTATATATAAAGTGATATATCATCAAGGACATATATACATCACTTTATACAGCACTATAGTTAGATTCTGTGGAAATCACATGGTATTGGGGTAGTCCGTTTCAGTTCAACACACTGTGAATTACCTGGGCATCTTGTCAGAAAAAAACAACAGGGTGACTTTCCCTAGACAATGTATTGCCTAGGGATGCAATTCTATCCTAGACTACTTTGCCACTGTGTGGAAATACTTGATCTAGAGTGGACATAGCGGTAGGGAAAGAAAAACTCTTAGGAAAACATAGCCACGTCTTATGGATGTTCTGTATGATTGACAGATCAAGCTGAACACTAAAAAAGTCTGAGGTAAATTTCTGAGCGGTGTAACATCAGTTATACTGATATCAAATGCATCAAATACATCAAATATATCAAGAGAGCCAAAGCTTACTTCTAGCACAAGGAAAAACTGTTTTGTTTATGCCATTTTGATATTTGCAAAATACAGTTTGCTCAGGAGAGTGAGGATGCAAATCTCATTTTACATTATAAGTAATCTTATGGTTTTCTCATTTTATGCTATTCCACCTCAGAGGCAACAGATCAGAGACACCCGAAGCCTTACAGACTGCCTGGTGCTGGGGCTCTGCTGGAGGGCAGGCTGGTTCCTAAGAAAACTATTGCCTGGGGAGCAAAAATCTGCAAAGAAATCCACAACACCCTACCACCAGAACGCAAAGTACACTTTCCTATCACAAAAGCAACACAGAGCCATACTCCCTAGCTATATATACCCACCACTTCCTACTAGTGCCCCAAAGTGCTACAAGAACTTCTATCCAAGGGGACTGTAAAGGGTAACAATCTGTCCGTGTACAGATGGCACAGCGTTCAGCCAGTCCAATTCAACAGAACACAATGATGCCTTGCTGGGGCACTCCAGCTACACAGAAAATAAATTGGGGGAAACAGCTCCACTCTCTGCCAACACAGAGAAATTCTGGAGCTTTACCAAAGGCTGGAAATGGCAAAATAATCACAGAAAAATGTAATAGTATCATTGGCTAGAGATCGTATTCTGAGGATAAGCTGGGAAACAGGAAGCAAAAAGGCAAACTGCACACAGTAATAGAAAATTTAAAGATAATATGCCAAAAAAAATCCAGTTCAGAACAGAGATAGTGTACCATTTTGTAAGAACAGACAGGAGATTACAATATAGAAAAAAGTTCCTGAAGCCTGAGATACCGGTCCTTAGGCAAAACTGTCCTTGGGCTTTATTTTTGTAAAAGAAATTTTAAGATCACTCAAATATGGAGTTGTCTGCCATGGAGAATGTCCCTGGGCACCAAAGCCAGCAAAGCCAAAGTCACCAAGAGTGCTGTGTGGATGAATTTTACAAGCTGGTTCTAGTAGCATCCTGTCCAGACCTTGCATCTTTTTCATAAAAATCACTCTAATGGGTACTTGAAAGCAAGGTTACCATCCCTCCAATGCATTGTTATATTTTCCATGCTTAACTCTGCAAATTTAATTTTCTTGATAAATTCAGAAACCTTTCTCCAAGAGCCCATAAGAAAGCTGGCATGTTTTACTGCACTGCATCTCCTGTCACTTTTTCTACCAACAGTTTAAGCATGTCATTTCAAAGGATGCAACACTTTATTATACATGCTTGTAATTTGCAAACATCGAAGGAGGGGATCCCTATATACATCTTACAAAGACAACAGGTGTAGAATCAGAAAGTGAAGGAAGATTCAGTGCAGAATTATGCATAAGACCTTCTGTTTCATCTGACTGTCCTATGAATTGTATCCTGCTGCCTGCATCTCTGGAAATAACCCTTGTGTATAATGAGGAAGGCTGTAGACATTCATCAACTGTAAATGTGGAAGATGATTTGTACAGAGAGTGTGACCTAGTGGAATTTAATTAAGTCCCTCCAGAAATTATTCTTGCCTGTCTTAAATGAAAGGGTAGCAGATAAGGCTGGAGGGCATCTGGCTGCCACTACCTGACTCAGAAGCCCCAAAAATCCTTCTGGTGCCAGGCCTACTCCTCTGTCCCCTCTGAATTTCTCATCCAGCAAAAGGCGGCACATCTCTTAAAAGGATGATGCCTGCTGCAGTCTTCTGGGTCTATCTTGGAGGTAGAGAGAACGAAGTTTAGCAGCTGTGAATGTGCTTGGGTACAGCCTTTCCTTTCGTTAACACAAATTCTTTGGATGAAAAAGTTCTTTTTGCTCTCTATCAGTGATATCTGCATACTTCTTTCCTTTTCCAGTGCCTCCATCCTAGGACCACTCCTAGTCTGGCCATCTTGAACAAGTGAACTGGCTATGCTATTTGTTACATGCTATTAAAAACCTTGTAGTTGAGCCTCTTAGGTGATTTTAAAGTGCTCACTGAACACTCTCCTTAGATGCCTCCTACAAAAGTGTACATTACAAGAGGCTTTTGAAGTGTCTTGTAATGGCCAATGTGACAAAATATTTGACAGGAGACTTCTAAGAAAACTTGACTGAGTTCTCATACACAGCACAAATGTCACTACCCTGAATTTCTGCAGGGTGTTCTGTGCCAAGCAGGAGCTGCTTTTCATTACTGTGTGAGGACCTAAAAACAAAGTCACTAAACTGACTCCTGGTTCAAAGAGACTGGATTTTCTATTGCATACAGAAATAAAAGCAGCACAACAGCCATCTCTTACACTCTGGGAGCAGGAAGCATGGGTCACTGCATACAGATTTGCTCCTTGGTGCAGAGTACAAACTATATATTCAGATCATAGCTTCAGGACTCACAAAAAAATTGATATCTGCATCTACTCCTTCAAATATCATCTGGGGTGATATTGGCACACTTTGGCTTTTAACATTGTGATGAAGCTTAGGTACCCTTTGCATACTCTAGTTTACACAGCTGATTATAATAACATTATTCTCAGTTTGCATCTCTTTAAAAAGAAAGGAGGCCTTGGTATCCTTTGAAACAGCCTTTGCCTAATCCTTTTAAATAGGGTGACTCCAGAATGATCTTGCTGTGCGCAAGGAAGTACAGTTATCTGAGCTAGAGACAGTCCCCATACCAGGATTTTTCTGTCACAGCACAAGCATTTCTCAAAGGTAGTTCTTCTCAACCAAAGCATTTAAAAGCTTTCCTCCTCCACCATCATTCTGTCTTAATAAAATCCCTGTAAGACTAGTTTCACTCAAACAGAGTTTATGACAAGATTATAGGTGGCTGTTAAAGGTCCTTTGCAATGGGAGAATGAAACTCTGATTTTATTGAAGATAATGGTAAAATTCTCCCTGACTTAACGGGGCCCCTATTCACCCAAAAAAATGTAACAAACCCTGATTATAGTTGCTGATTTGTTACTGACAAAATTTCACTTTCATAATGCTCCAAATACTCACACTACTATCCAAATGTTAATCAATTAACAAAATGCTATTGCATATCTTAACTATCTGAAAAGAAAAATGTCAGGTTTACAAATTATTTAATCTGTCATCTATAATTGTATATGAAAGCTTTATTAAAGCTTCATTATGTATAGCCTTTACTTTAAGAACATAAAGTGATTACTGAAGTTCTGTTTCAAGACACATAAGCAAATATCCCTCTCAGAAAAGCACAACAATTCAAGCAGCAAGACTTCGCACTCCAGAAAAGTCACCTTCAACCATTTCCACTGAGGAATTAAGCATGACAGTGCTTTCAAGAGACTGTTCCTTTTTAGCAAGAAGGAAAAGAAGGAGGTGTTAAAGTCAAGGATGTGGCAAGGAAATAAATGCAGATATTAGGGAGCCAGACATTTGCAGTGAGTGTGTTTCAAGGAGAGGTGGGTGTCCCTCGGTAGAAGTCCCTGAGACAAAAAGCACCCTGTCCTGCAAGACCCTGTTTTAGGGCACTGCAGGGACCCCTCAGCTGTCTCTGTGACTCCCTCAATGCAAGGGAAAAGAGTGGGGGGACTGAGCAAAGCTATCATCTCTCTCCTACCCTGGCAGTGCAGAAAAACACTTTCTGGAGTATTATCTGCCGCTACCAGGCAGGAGGGGAGGGCAGTCATGTGCCTGGGGAGCCCACAGACAGAGCAGAAACTTGCTTTTTCTTATCAGCTACTAGCTTTAGTATGCAAACAAATTAAAACAGAGAGCTTTAGGATAGGGGAGCAGAAAGGCAGAGTCACCAGTGCCTTCTGGGAGAAGTTAATTCAAGATAAGTGTTGAATAACAAGAGCTACTGAGGAACGGGACACAAGGAAACTTTTGTTGGTGCTAAGGTACTGTGGCCAGAGAGATACAAAGCTTTTCTGACTGTTTGCCTTAATCCCCAAATCAGTCCCATCTTCTTAGTTGTTGTGGTGGTTTGAGCCAAAATCCAATTTCCAGGCTTTCCCCACTCCTTCCCACAATTTTATCTCAACACCGAAGAGAAACTTTCAGGCAGACACCTCTATAGGGGAAAAGGGGAAGTATATATACATTTATTCTACACAAATAAATACTGTACAAGCTAAAAGCAACTATATATATA